CCTTTTGGAGGAAGTACTTGATGGCGGGTCATTCAGCTGATCCTTTGCCACTCCAATGTGTCATTGTAACTCAATCTTGAAAATGACTCTGTTAATAATTTTGCAACGATGTCATCACTATCACTGACATGAGCCATCATGAACAAACTTATGCTAATCATAAATCTATCGATTAGATTTATGATTCGAAAATAATAAAAGTAGGGTAGACATGTGGATATTATCCGGCTGAACAAAACGTGCATTTATCCAATAGGTTCGTTCCACAGACCTTATTTCGAGCTATTTTCCAAAATCCTCTGGAGAAATCCCATTGCTTTTTTGTCAAGGGAACCCGAGCACAGCTTACTTCCGGGCTTTAGGACGCGTCACTGCACCACTTCCATAAACTTCACAGTGGGCGGAATTTGTCATAAAGTCTGTGAAAATAAAGCCCACCCATTTAGAGGGAAGATATGATTGGTCAATTGTACTGTCATTTGACATTACTCTCTCGTTGAGTTACTATAGCGGGCCCTCTGTGAATTTACAGCAGGACCACCAATCAGCTCCTATCTTCACAGTAACTCGCAGAGACGGCTAAAGGAGCTTCTTTCATTTAACCCTTCACATTCAAACAGAAACTGAACAGGCAGATTCAAAGGAATTATTTCTTTGGAAATGTCATTTTAAATACAATTAAATCAAGTTATTTTGGTAAAACTAATGAAAAATATATATATATAATTTAAAAAATATATATTAAAAAAAAAAAGAAGTTTTTTTTAATGTTTTCAAATATCATTTTTTTTTTAATATCTTAGGCACTCAGAGAGGGCCTAGAGGGCCCTGACGGCTCGAGTCGCCACTGGCCAATGTTGTTTGTCTCTCCTTCTATGATAACTATACTAGGTGTTCACACATCAAGCCTACTTCAACATTGTGGAAAAAAACGCAAGGAGCTAATCAAAATTAATAACATGTCTGTGCTTTGAGTGCAGAGCTGTAGTCAGGATGTGGTTGGTCTATCTTCAAACCTAGATTAGGACTAGGTGTGGATGAAACCGCTAGCTTAGCCCTGTCAAAAGTGAAACAATATGCCTACCAAAACCTCAACTATCACTAGTATACTTTTTAGTTTAACCTGTACATGAACATAGAGGTAAGAACATCAGTCTCTGGTTTTACAGGGAGTTAGAGGAGCCAGTACAGTGCAAATCCTCCCAAAGTGTTTTTCTCACAGTTTGGGCTGGCAGGTTTTGTGCCCTTTTGTCTAAACCAAAACCTGCTCAATGACTCAATCTGGCAACCTTTGCTATAGCAAAAAGATTATTCAGAGAATGGTTGACAGAAGAATAAACGGTGCAACTCGACCTAAAACATAAACAACTATTTTTCACTTATTTGTTCAAGCGTGGTTCAAATAAAACAAAAATATCTAGTTAAAATATCAGAAATAGCCATGCTAATCTATATGCTAAACTAAGGATTAACGCTCTGTCAGCAATGCATTAACATGGGACTAATGTTGATCTATGTATCTCACTCTCGTAATTAACATTCCTCAACTATCGTTTCGTTTAAAATGAAAGGATTTATATAATTTGGTAAAGGCTGTTTTATCCAACACTAGCTAACTGTTTATGTTACCTAAGCGACTGTGTCTTAGTGACAAGGCACTCGTAGCTTTCCTAACACACGTGCACAGGCCCAGCCCGCAGGGTATAAGAAGGCAATCTCTATACCATGATTAATGTCAGTGGCAATATGAAACCCACCACTCCCCAAGGGCTGACTTGGTTTCTCCTCTCTGGGTTTTTTTCATCTTTCTAATGTGGTTGGAATACAGATGGTATGATCTTTTTTAATGAATTAGACCTGATTGGAAACCCCCCTAACTGAGATTCCTTTAAAATGAAAGAGGGTAAGTAAGCAAATTAAATCAAAAACATCAGTTGCACAACACAGCATTTAGTGAACAGCCCTTATTGCTTGTAATTTGAAGTACACAGTATGTGTGTGTGTATTGCATTTAGCAACACTTTAAAAGAGTTCATTTCACAGAGTTCTTAAAATAATTATGTTAGTTGTAGGTTTTCCGGGGAAGGCGGGCTGAATGTAATGCCCTTTTACTTTTATCTCGTTCTTTACACACACACAGATACAGATACACACTCACAGCTCATGTGATCCTTGAGAGGGCTTTTCATTGAGCTCTGGATCACTTCTGAATGGAGAAGAGCTGACGAGTGTTGGAGGTGACAGATAGTCAAAGGTTCTGTCCTCTAAACTGAAGATTGCTAATGGGTTTTCCCACAGGAGAAGGCCTGTGTCTTTACGATCCTTCATGATATGTAAGGCCTTTTTGTTAACTAGTCATGTTTTCTGAGATAAAATTACGGATCTAGTATTAAATCAAAGTATAGATCATCCTCTTATTAACCAAAGATTTAAGACATGTTTCGTAGCTGGCTTATCTACACGCTGTTCTCCAACATGCCTGAGTTTGACTCTTGCCAAGTGCTGGTCTTCCTAAAGCTCTGATTATCCCGGCTTACACACAGTTTACACTCAGGTTAAGTAAGAATCAGGGAAGTGACAGAAAGGTGGTGTTTGGGAAGAAGTTGCCAATCAACCAGGAGAACCAGCATTACGCTCTAGTTTAAGTCGCCATCATGGCATCCTGTAACTAAGTGTAATCCTCTTTGCTGTCTATTCGTATTCTGGCACATCATGGATCTTAACCTGTACTTGTGAAGAACGAGAGAGAGAGTTTGTATTAGTGTTACTGTGCATTAGAGCAAACATGCTTGTGAAGTCCCCTGGATCAATAAGGTGTGTGACCTCAATAGGGCTTCTTACTGGTTGCCAACACCCACATGAGGCAAGACGTGTGCAAGGTCACATAATGTGTGTGTCTCCTCTTATCTCAAGTCAAGAAATCCAATACATGGTTCAGTGCAGTGCGTAGGATATTGTTGCCATGAACAACGGCATGCGCAAATGCATGCAGTGTTGTTTGTTTCAGCTTACCTATACCTATATGTATGCATTGAGCCCTGCTGCTAATAACAGCAGATTGAGTGCTCATGCATTGTGGTTGCCATAAAGTGCAACCATGATAAAAAAGAAAAAGAAAAAACCTTTGGAAAAGTTTCCATTAATGATCTATAGTGCATATTTTTACACTGTTCAACAATTCATTGTTAAACCTAACAATTAACTTTGTACAATGTAAAGACATTTTCTCCAACTTGCCCTTAGGTACTCTTTGTGTTTGTTGTCAACAAACAAAAGTTACTTTTAGGTTCAGTATTTTTCTCAAGATGCATTGTAACGTTACCCAGGTGTGTGTGTGTTCATCATTACACATTAGAAAAGTCAACATTTAAAACGTTTTAACCTGGATTTCTTATGGAGGTTTACAAGCTTGCACTCTTCTTTCTTGCCTTCTTTGCTGCATTCCTTCAATTTCTTGTGTCTTGCGTTCCCTGCCTGTTTTGCACATAAGAAAAACAACTACCCCCTCATAAAAAAATCAGTGTATAGCACTATTTTTGGACAGAAACTCCACAGTACATACTTTAAATGATTCATTGCAGTTGTAGCTATAGTTTGAATGTAATTCACACCGGAGTACTTTTCCCAGGAATAGTTCCGATAGTTCCTGGAATTTTGCGTTCACACCAAAAAGATCTGGAACTAGAACTTTTTTTCGGGAACCTTTTNCACTGTGTGTGCTGTGTGCTCTGCATGTGTGACCATTAAAGAGGGTTTCAATGGTAGTAAAATAGTATAGTAGATAAGTAAGATAGTAGAATCGGAGGGATGAAACCCTCTTTAATGGTCACACATGCAGAGCACACAGCACACACAGTGAAATTTGGCCTCTGCATTTAACCCATCCTAGTACCAGGAGTCTAGTACTAGGAGCAGTGGGCAGCTATTGTACAGCTCCAGGGGAGCAATGGGAGTGGGGGGGGGAAGGGGGTTGTCCGGTGCCTTGCTCAAGGGCACCATGGCAGGGCAGGAGGTGAACTGGGACCTCTCCGAGTAGCAGTCCACACTTCATATTTAGGTCTGGTCGGGGACTTGAACCGGCGACCCTACGGTCGCCGGCCCCACAGTCCAAGCCCCTACTGACTGAGCCACTGCCGGACAGATTTATGATTAGCATAAGTTCGTTCATGATGGCTCACGTCAATGATAGTGATGACATTGTTGCGAAATTATTAACAGAGTCATTTTCAAGATTGAGTTACAATGATAAATTGGAGTGGCAAAGGATCAGCTGAATGACCCGCCATCAAGTACTTCATCCAAAAGGATAGGAGGATGGACTTTCTGTATAAGTGATTTGATCATCAAAGGTAGGCCTAAGTCATTTTCAATGTGGGCCGCCGTGCCGACTTCATTCATTTGTGACTTGTTACTTGGCTGTGGGTAACCTGTCATGATAGGTGTTTGTTTATATAAAATGGTGTTGTTTTGTGTGGTAGAGGGTCGTTGTCATTGATGCGTTTTGCACCCCGGGCCCTTATTCTGATATTTCGCTGAAGTATACGCGGTGATGTATTAACATTTTTCAAGGTCAGAGGGCCCAGGTATAAAAGTCACGGCTCGCCACTGACATTAGCAAAGGCTTGTTTCATTCAAGGGCCCCATACACAATGACATTGTAGCAGTGAGTAAGCATGACATTTCAAGGACACCTGAAACTAAGCTGCTAAATGGAATTCAAACATTAACTTTATCATTTACACCAGTGGCTTATAAGGCTTATTGTGAGATAAACACTTTCCAGCACATGCTTTGACTGAAAAAAAAGTTCAAGACTGGCTCAGGCTTCAGAATCTCCACCGTGTAGCCACTAAATAAAACAGGGCAGAGTAAAACAAAGAGATGGTTGTATGAATAATGGAAACTGAATACATGTGAGAAGACCTACACAAGCATAAAAGAAGAGAGGTCCAATATTTCACTCATGTAGTCAAACAAAAAGAGGTTATTTCTAAAAGATTTTCTGGCCGTGGCTTATTTTTATAAAGTGACCCGCTATGCAGCACTGAAGAAACAAATGCCAAACGGGCCAACCGGATGATGTTGACGAAGACGCCGGGGCTACTCTGAGGTCGTTCTCCGCTGTTGCTCTCAGCATGCGACCTGAACATACAAGAAAATAAAAGCACGGGTCTTTGATGTGCTGGAAGGATGACAACAGTACAGCTGTCTCCTCTGAGCTGGTGAGTGAGGCCACGTAACATGGGGGACTTCTCCGTTGTTTGTGTCTAGTTAGTGAAGCTCTGCTGAGATCAAAGGCTCAAGGAAGCTTTAATTAGAGGGCGAGCCGTGTCCCGGGTCTCTAAAGAAACGGAACCTCCCATCAGTCTGCACAATGTCACCTGGATCCACTGGGAAACTGCATTACAAACTTTAAAAAGGACAGCTATCAAACAAAGTGCGTAGACTTTGGAAATTCCACAAGGATGATGATGCAGACATGAATATAGTAGAAAAATCACTTAAATCATATAAAGAAGTTGGTACTTGTCCGGTGTAATGATACAATCCTGCATTTATTTGGAGTCATTAGGTCACAAATCATGGAAGATTTTCAATTAAAGAGCTGCTGATTTTTTTATGAAGATATGCAGAAATAAATAAAAGGTTTCCTACTTGGCCCTGATGATTGTCAGGACGTTTTTTTGACAAATTGAAAAAAGCATTGAAAGCAGGATCTCATTATAATCATCAAAGTGTTTTGAGTCGGGGAAGGCAACAATTGTAGCTTGTGAAAAATGACTGTCTGTTTCAAATTTCGCCTCATAAGCATTTAAACACTATCAAAAGGAAATGACTGCTGTAGCTTCCTGTGTGTGTGTTGGGGGTATGGTTGAGTATGCCACGCCCCCTTACAATCAGATCAAACCACTAACATCAAGGGATGTTAATAACTTCAAGAACCAAAAAGGAGCCTCACTTTTTTTTTAATCTGGAGGATACATGATCAGGTTTTTCAGTAAAGTGGAGCAAAAAATACAGAAAAAAAGAAAAAGAGTGGGAACAGAGGTAGAGAAAAGTCGCACAAGCTTTAACTGACACAAAGGCACTCTCCACTTTGTAATTTTGGCCTGTGGTGAGTTCATGTGACTCCTGCAGCATAGGAGCTCATAATCTTCTAGGGAGTTGTCGTCTTTGTGGTGAAAAAAGGCAGCAGAGGCCCAGTTTCAGCCATGAAGCCACAGTCATCAGACGGGGGAGTGGAGGCATACTGATCTGAAACTGTGGTGACCGAGGCTCCCCCGCATTACTCTAATTCACAAAACTCCACCACAGGAGCCTGACTTTCATCCCATCAAACGCAGAGATTATTATTATATACTGTTAGTTTCCTGTCATGCAACTATATATACTCTACTGTCAAATGAATAAGTTAATTGAAAGTGAAAGACTGTTTATGTCACATGAGTGACTGGAGACACAGCTGTCCCGTCTGACCGCCGTGAAAAATCTGGACTGTGTAAGCGGGTCCAACTTTTGTTTTGTTGATCAAAGGAGTATCACATCTGACCTCTTCTAGTAGAAACCAAACAACAGTACAGTAGAAAGTACAACAAAAATAAATAAGAACGAGTGAGGGAAGACTGAAGCGAAAGGAGGCCTCAGGGGCATAAAGGTGCCAGGAAAATGGTGAGTGAGACGTACATGAGGGCAGCAGGATACGTTTGAACAGTGTTTAAGAATAAACTACACATTAGATCAGAACGATGAGTGTGTTCCAATATGTGAACAAAGTAACCACAGTAACATTAAACTTGGTACAAAAAAGGTGCTATTTTCTTTGCCGATCTTTCCAATTTCTTTCTGTGCAAAATGTTTTTTGTCAGCTTTTCATTCCAAATATAGTCCCATTTCTGTTCGGTCTGTTACATATTTGGGATTCCCTTTCAACCTATACATCTAAAACCCTCTATATGGGTGCCACAAAAACAACTCCATATGTGCGACCATTTTGGGAAACTTAAAGATTACATCAAACCTAAATTTACACAACAAGATCAAAACATGTCAGGTTGAGAAGATATTTTTCATGAATTTTATGACCAAATGTGACCAAAAGCACCCTATTTAGAAGTTTCCAGAAAATCCTGTTTAGCAATAGTGTGATCAAAGCCGAAGTGTTGTCCTCACCTTCTTGAGTAGCCGTGTGGAGTCCTCGCTGATCTGCATGAACCTCATGATGACGTTGTTGAGGTAGATGTCGCTCAGCGTGGCGTGGTCCTTACTCTCCCTCCTCACCTGGTTCAGCAGCAGGTACCAACAGTTGACCGGGGACAGCAGGTTCTGGTCTTTCCTGAATAAACCAGGGAAACAGTCGAGTGTCAGATCAGCTGTCTAAAATAATACATTTGGAAAACATAGGTGGAAAAGTAATATCCTGGTGTCATTTAATACATGTTACAAAATAGGAAAAGGAAGGATGTATGGAAGAATTGTTTATATGGAATGCTTTGATGACTCAGCATGTTCCTGTTTGTTAGGTCACACGTGTAGAGCATTAATTAACAAGAACAAATGGGTTCATAGACTGAAATCCAAAGCAATATCAATTGTGTGTGTTTATAGTTTGTATCAGTGCATTTCAACATTTTCCTGTGTGTCTGTATCGATGTCAATGTCTCAGCCCCAATTTCTTTAGACAATATTTGTCATTTTAACAAGCAGACAGTGGCAGTTCCTCGTCTAGTTCTCACCCGGATCTGGTACAAAAGCAGAAGGGAGATGCGTCACAGGTCTCCCTTGGGGTTAAATGTCCCATATACTGCTGGTTCCGGCACTAATAAAGCTCCCTATATACGACACGGACTACCCAGTTGAGCTGGAAACACTTTGTATCGGTGACATTTCTGGGACAGAGCTCTCCCAATGCTCTTAGCCAAGCCGACTTCATACAAACCAGGGAAGAGTGCGCCACAGGCTTTAAATACACTTAGTGGAGTGACGTGGAAGAAGCCAGTATGCATTTTAAGTGGAGTTGAAAAGTAGAAACACGCATGAACTGTGACAGCAGAAGACAGACAAGCGAGGAAAGAGAAGTCACAGCAAAGGGAAAAGATTGTGATCTTGAGTGAAAAAAAGAGTGAAATAGTGGAGGCTGAGAGCTGTTTCCTGTGCTGTGTGCCGGCTGCTTCCACGCTAACTGTAGGACATTGTCCAGGCCAGAGCAGGCAGGGGCCCTGCATAAGCACTGGCCTGCAGGCTGACTTCCTCTGGGTTAACCTAAAACATTCCTCCTCCCTGCTAACAGCAGCACAGAATATGAATGTGTAGATTCTAAGGTTGGGTCTGGGGGTCAAGCATGGCAGGAACCACATGTAGACTCACCTCTGCTCTCCAGTCACGGTGTCAGTTTGTTAGACAGATAGCACTTGTCATCACAACAGGTGAAACTCTGAACTTACTGTTAGGTGACCTAGCCTTGAACTAGCATCCACCTCTGGATCAACATCTGCTGCAAGAGCAGAAAACAAAGCATTTCCCTAAATTAATAACTCACACAAACATTCCAACCAGCTGAAATGTTTCCCCGAGTCTCTGCGAAAACAGGAAGCAACCTTCATTTGATAAAGGCAGAGCCAAACACGCTGACATGGAAAACATCCGAGAGCATTTGAGAGCACACACCATTTTCAAAGACACCAGGAAGATGGTGAAAGAAAATAAAAGATTCAGCTAAAGGATGAGTGGTGTATTGATGCCACATGCCTGGGCTAAAGGACATGTGGTAAGTAAGAGAGAGCAAGAAAAAGAGAAAAATAAATGAAGCAGTCCCAGAGCTAGCAGCAGAACCGCCGGACACTGCATCGCACACACACGCTGTCAAAGAGCAATTACCATAAATCCTTTCTGCATTATGTATCAGCAGAGTGCAATACTGCCAATCTAGATACACGAGGACAGCACGTGTGTGTGCATGTGTACGTCTTTAATAATTCATGCTCACTTTTGCGTGTGCAGAGGAGGCATAATGTCCAAGTGGCCACTGAGATGAAGCTGGACATCGCACAACATGAGCCCCTACAAAAGTTAATGAAATAACCTCCAAAGCATAGATATCTTATGATCCATCTGTGAACCTGTTGTGGAGAAATATAGATGATATGAAGATAATGGGATGTAAAACCGCTCAAGTAATGGCAGGTTTAGCTAGAGGACTTTTAGTCAGTACTTGAATTGCCTTCTTTACTTTGCTTTATCCGACCTTATAGCTCAAAGCACAGCAGGACTCCTCATCAACAATACATTCACACATTAGACATTAAACCAATTATAGCACTGTTCCTTTCCAAGTCATTTCAAACGATTAAACAAAACAAAAAGGATCTGCCACACAGAGCAGTTAGCCAACTGAACGATAGGGGAGGACTTTGAAATACCAAAGCCCTCCCACAAATACATCAACAGTTGTCAAAGTACCTTGTATGTTTGTTATTGGGCTGATTTACTAAATGAAACTTCTGTAATGAAGAGAGGACAGAAAAAAGGGGAGGGGACTGACACGGGCTGTGACGACAAAATGACCTCTCGGGTTGCTTACTCTACATAATGGCAGGAAAATCTCTCAATGTCATCGTTTCCCGCTCAGCCAGGGGAGGAAGTGGGTCAGACAAACACAGACAGATAGGCGTGCCCCAGAAGGCCTGCAACACAGGTAAGGAAGTGGAAAATAATGTCCAGGACAGGCAGGGAGGGGGGGTGTGAGTATAAAAAAAAAGAAGCTCATTAGCAACTCACTGGCTACTATCAACGTAATGTGGGTTCTGTCTATTCATGCAGTCTAAATCCAGGAGTCCCAGAGTCAACATCAACACACCCTCATACAGTAGCAGGACGCCGACAATGAAGGATCATTACCACTTCAGTATGCAGGGTATTGAAACAGGAGCCCATATCAACATCAGACGGAAAACGGCAAAGTCCTCCAGTGCCAAACTGATAACATCTTTCATTAATGAACTGCAGCGGCAGCTTTCATACTGCAGCACAGTGACTGGCTTCACCAGAATGATCACTGTAAGTCAGAATTGGAACAAGGCTATCATGAAAAAGAAGGGTGGAGTTTGAAGAAGCATGCAACAGGGCGCAACAGCCTAATTAAAAGAGTCTAGTCAAACCGTTCTGTAGATAACAAAAGATAAACTTTGTCCGACTTTATTCTTTGCATCTCAAGCTGAATAGGCGGCGGATGGAACCGTCGGAAGAAACACGAAGCATGTTCTACACCTTCTTTTTATCCTCAGACAAAGAGAGGAAGTCCCTTAACCAGACACTTCATTCTGGATAAAAGCTGCCTATTTAAGATGATCCCAGCTGTGGCTTTTACATTATAAATAATTCAATGATGTCCCTTCTCATCATCTCCACGTCCCTCCCTGAACAAACTTTGCATAATACTGTATCAGGCTGTGTGCATGAGCATTTGTTTGTTTTTTTAAAGCGAGAAAGATAGAGGAGAATGTTTGCCCATACTTGTTCATTTGTGTGTGTGTGTGTGGTGTGTGTGTGTGTGTGTGTGTGTGTGTGTGTGTGTGTGTGTGTGTGTGTGTGTGTGTGTTCTGCAAACAGCCATTGGAACATTAATGGACAGGGCAGTGAATGGCTCTCCCACAGACTGCCGCTCTAGGCTGCATACAGTAATCTTGGTCTCTTGTTTTTGTTTTCTTACACAAATGGAAAAAGGAGAGAAGAGTAGAATTTATTTCCCGCCATTAACAGCCATTTATATTTTTAACCCATCGATATTTCTTCCAAAATCACTAGCGATCATACTCTTTTCTGCTGGAGCGTTGGCTTACCAACTGGAAGCTATAAGCTCAAACTGTTTCTAAATAGCCATTATCAGCAGCTCAAACATACATGTACATGTTGACATTTACTACACGATGTTAATGTTGAACAGCATGTTACAAGCTTTTTAACACCTATGTGGAGACTATGATTTTAAGCATGTAAAGCAAACCTGCAGCTGCTTCTTAGTGTTGCAAGGACATTTAATAAAAATACAGGCAGTAATGCATTATTTTTACAATCATAAAAACCTAGAGGAGCTACACCAACCATTATTGTAAAGAAGGACACTTATCTTATTTTTCAGTTAGCTATTTTCACAGACCAACACTCTGGATTGGACTCTGTTTTTATATGTGTGTTCATTCGCTCTTAATTTCTCTGTTTACAAGTGCAATACAATGAAATAAAGATATGTGTATGCAGAACAACAGCTCAACAGTGAGAACTTTAGCAGAAGAAAGATGGATTCCTCTGCAGAAGTGAGCAGAGGCATTTAATCCTCCCACAGTTGGCACAACATCTGAAACTTCTGAACAACACTTCTCGCTCTGGAAGAAAAACTCCTACTGTGCCAAAACTTCAAAAGTGCAATAGTACCTCCATTGTCAGCTACTTACGGCTAACGGCTACAGCTAGCTAGCTTTCCTCCTGTCGATTTCCGTATGGTTGTGTATTGTTTAAGATGTCATATTACCTTAAGCCCTCCAAAACCTACAGTTCAAATGGTTCCTGCTGTGGTGATACAAGGATCATCATGATTTCAGAAATGTGGCTTCAACCTGCTTACCCACTACCAGAATCCTTTTGGTTGGGAAGACGTCCCTAACAGAGGTTACCACTTGCTTCAGTTTAACAACAAACTAAAGTTAACACATTGTGTATATTAATGCAGTCTTAACTGTTTGAATGCCATCTTGTCAACTTGTCCCCACATCAATTATGTTAACCCGATTAAAGCATGCAGCACCACTGACAGCTTTAGCATTACCCACAGATCTAGGGGGTCATTTTAATGCTGCTTAAGCATTTTGCAGCTCCGCCTAGCTGACCATTCAAATGACTATTGGCTTAATGCTACAGACGGAATGAAAAGTCATTTTTTCACACCACATGTATGTCCAATGAAAGCAACCTAGAGAATGTGGAGAGCATAAAAGCCTTACTGTACGTGTAGTGTTTATGCGAATACAAAAATACAGGCTCAATGATTAAAACCCACAGGAAGGTCTTTAATTTTATTCAGACATCTTGTATTTACTTTAAAAATATGCTCCTAGGCACTTGCCAAACGTTCACCCTGTGAATGAAGTGACCGGACTGTGCATCACGCGATGAAACCACAGAGCGACATAGCAGAGTCGCACGTCACAGACATGGGCACACACAGCTGCTAGAGCCATTGCCGCTTCAGACAGAGAGCACTCGCTATTTGCAGACGGCGAAGACAAACATGGGTTTTATTTTCGTTCTCATCGCGGGTTCAAACAATATGCTAATGTCTGCTTTTTCCATGAGCAGAGTGTAATAAGGCCAAAAACTACAGCAGACTTAACTGTGTCAAGATCTTTAAAAAGGCTCCCAGTCAAACTGTGATGCACGGTAACAAGATAGAGGGAGAGAGGTGGAGAGGCAGGGAGACAAGCTTCCTGTAAACATGATGAAGAATCACAATTCATTCGATTTTTTACATGTTCCTCAGCCAGGTTAACTGTATAATACGAAGACAAATCAAATTCTATATTAAGTTTATTCTTCCAGTTCTCTTGTACCTGCTTTAATGACACATATTTCTTTTATTTACAAGTTTTGAGGGCTATCCAAAACAACATTTCCTTTTATAATTGGCCCAAATAAGTTTGAAAAATAAAGATGAACCCTTCACATATACATATTTAATTGTGTAATTTGTTATTCTTTAAACATATTTACAATAGAGATCATAGATACAACAATAGAAACAGGCAGTAATGTAATTATTGCATAATATATAATAGTTTTGTCAAGAATGTATTTTGCTGGTGAGGTAAAGAAAGGACTATGAATTTAATTTATGAATTAAGCCACTAGAATTTCTGAGGATATGTTTGGAAAAAAAAACATTTTTAGATGAAAGATAAGTGTCACCGGTGAACTGATTTTCTATCCTCATTTGACCTGATTTGAATATATAATGAAGATTGATATAGCTCATCAGCATAATAATCCCATCAGAAAAAAGAGATGATATCAACATTACAAAATGAAATTCAGTATGACTTCCATCTGGCCGCCACAATAAAACAGCTTTTCTTCTAGATATTAGGCAAGCGGGGTAAGAATGACAATCATTTGGACTCACAAAGTGTATTCTGCGCCCCATAAATAAACCCAGATGACAGACTCAAATTGAGAACAAACACTAAGACAGCGTTTCCTCACTTGTACTGCTGGTGATCCTTGGTGCTGCGAGTCTTTGCCATGAAGCGTTCGGCCAGTTTCTCCAGGTTTCTGGAGTACTCCATCTCAATCTCTGACTTCTTCCTGAAGAAGTCCTGCAGGTCTTGCAGCAGCTGGACCCGCATCTCCGTCTGCTGGTCCAGACATTTCTGCTGCTCCACCAACTGGGCCCGGATCTCTGAGGAGAACAAGAGAACAAATAGATTAGGATGGAGCCAAAATCTGAAGACTAGAAATATGGTGTTTTCCGACAGAGCTTTGCTTGGAAACGTTTTTTTTTGTTTTTTTTCTTAAACCAATCATAGTTGCTATATATAAGAGCAAGACTTTCATGTTTTCATTTGGACAACTCATGGAGAAACTAGAAGCGTTTACATTTGGATGCTTTCATCAGTAATATTTGCCACACTTGCGGATATGTACCTATTAAGACTTTTACAACATGGTCAATTTGCTTGCAATGCAAACTACTTTTCAAATAAGATTTAACAAGCATGCAAACTTATGCAGCTGAAATTTACCAAAACATGTAAGATAAAGAATCAGCAAAGGCCTATTACAGCACGGCATACATTGATCAGTGAAAAACAACCGCCTGATGAAACTTATTATCCGTTTGTTATGGGTCTGAATGCTAAGAGATGTGAGGATGGCAAAACTGGTCTCGGGTGTTTCATTAGGGCTGAATATCTTTAGGATGAATTACACACAAACACACATCCTCATCAGTGTCTTTGAATGAAATCCCAAGCCACTTATGAAAGCAGAGGGGTGACAGCAGGCCTCACTAAAACAAGCTGTATGTGCAGGTAAATTACCCTCTGAGGTCCTTTCTGAGGAATCACACCTGTCAGAGCAACTCATTTAAATGTACAGCCTGCAATGACAACCGGGAACACACACACACACACACACACACACACACACACACACACACACACACACACACACACACACACAC